CAAAACAATATTCATGGTATAATTGTGGTGCATATAGTTAATTTATTTTTGTACAGTGTTATTTATGCATTCCAAGTTGTTTTGGAATTCATATCTGTTTCCCGCGAGCTTGAAGTGCTGGAAAGATAATGGGCAAAACCTTGTGGACAAACTAGATTCTTTTCTTCTAATATGCAAAATGGTATATAATTGATTGAACATGAGTATTTTTCAATTGTTTTAGAATGCGACCAATCATATCATTTTTGGTTTTCGAATTTGCAAATAAATTGAACTGGTTGTAATCTTAACATATATTCTCGTCACATAAACCCAAATATTTCGTTTTTACCGAATATCTCTCCAAGTTTACAAATTACCTAAGTTACTTTGATCTTAATAATCCCAGATCTTTTGTTATTAACGATTTGCCCCACATCGTTTCATATTTACCACATATTTTCAAATTTTCGTTATTGAAAATGCTTCATATATTTTTGTATTCATAAATCAATTCCATATTCGCTTTCCGTCACAGAAGCTCTCAACCAATATGATGATCCAATAGCTAAATTTGCTCATACTCTATCTTGTTATCAGGCTGTACTTGGCAATTGTTCTCCTTTATAACTGAGGCTATTGGTGGAGACATTGCCCAGTAATTTAATATATAAAGTACCTTTTGAGTTGAAAAAAACAAAACAAAAACAACTCCCTATTTTGGTATTAACAGATTTTCCTTATATAACGTGGGTATCTAGAGAAGTGCTTCATCTCTTTTCCTATTTATAAAATAATCCCAATTTTATTTAATACCAAAACACCCCAGATTTTTTGGTAGTTACAAAACTACCTTAGTATTTTCTTAATTTAATAAATAGCCCACACATTTTTGTATTTACAAAATAATCTCATATCTTTCGATATTTACAAAATCACCTCAAAACTTTCATAATTACCAAATTTACCTCACATCTTTTGATATTATCGAAATAGTCTCATATCTTCTATTATTTACCAGATCACCCAATATTTTCTGGTATTACAGAAATGCCTCATTACTTTCTCAATTTAACAAATAGCCCACATCTTTCTGTATTTACAAGATAACCTTACAAAATCACCTCAAGACTTTCTTATTTACAAAATTACCCCACATCTTTTGACATTATTTTAAGAGTCTCATATCTTCTATCATTTTTACCAGATCACCTAATATTTTTTGGTATGATAAAAGTGCCTCATTAGTTTTATAAATAACCCACTACGACGCCCACCAAGGATAGAGTTAGCTGACCAACTATGTTATCCACCAACTATATTCGCTCATCTACTTTACTCTCATTTCTCTATTACATATTCTTACGGTAATAGAATTATACTAAAGTTATGTCCATTACCTCTGGTCAATTTGTCCAACACTATTCACCAGTGTTTTTTTGGTCTCATCAAGGTTCACCACTTCTGTACTACTTATCCTTTCAGAACATGCTAAATGGTGTGAAGTACTCGGACTCGCATAATATCTTGTTTTCGCTCTTCTCATTTCAATTTGGACCCTATGGAGTATCACCATTTCCTCTTCATGAAGATTTCTTCGAGGGCACTCTGTGCTGCCATGATTGTTCGGCCATAAATAAGGTCTGAATAAATGGAATAACTC